TGGATTTGAGGAGAACTTGGAACAGCTGGTGGAATTGTTTATCCCCATCTTTTAAATATTTACAGTGCTTTGAAAGCCTTTCTCTGATCTTTGTTTTTATTTTCTATTTATCAGATGCAGTAGTTGGGTCCACTAAGAGTAATACAATTTGTCCTGGTAAGTTTTCATTGACCTTGAGTTTTGCAACTTGCCTTGTATGCTGGCTGTGTTGGTTTGGTCTTTTTTTGTTTGACGTTAGATAGGTCCGTATTTTACTTTTTTAAATATTTTTTTTATTGCAATCGATGTAGGTGCTTTGCTTCATTTGAGATGCCGGGAAGCTGAAGGAACATACTCATCTGCTTTTTGAGTTACTGAGTTTCACTTTCCCCCCCCGCCCATAGTCAAGCTTGCTACTGAAAGTTTAAATCATTGCTAGTGGAATATGTACGAGAGAGACGTCGCTGAGCTTTTACAGTTTGGATTTTTATCCATGCGGGGTTTCTTTTTTTGAGCATTATGAAAAGACATTGCTAATGAGGTGCCCGTGAATACAGGTCTGACTGGCCGCCTTCTTTTTTAACTACCTACCATTAAGCTGGATTGCCGCAACCAGTAACTTGCTGACCCTGGAAGAAGTCACACTGCCAGTTCAGGGGGATCTTTGTGACTGGGGGGGCGGGGGAAAAAAAAAAAGCCAAATTTGCTAAGTTGTTTTGTCCTGACCCAACGTCCTGCTTCTTAAAGCAATCCAGCGTGCCGCTAAGGACACGTCAGGAGCTGTAACGGTAACCGAGCTTGGTGATGATTTGGTGCATGACTTTTTTTTTTTTTTTTTTTTTTTTCCTGTAGATAATTATCAAACGGCGCAACTGCTTGCCTTAATTTTGGAGCTGCTTACTTTTTGTGTGGAACACCACACGTATCACATCAAGAATTACATTATGAACAAAGATCTGCTAAGAAGAGTACTGGTCTTGATGAACTCGAAACACACGTTTCTGGCCTTGTGTGAGTATGGAGCTGTTGTGGTTTCCCTCAAGGCTTTGTTTGTACTGGGTGGAACATGTAGGAGTAAAAGCGTGTATTTAAACTCAAAATCCATGTTAACTTCCTGTTTATTACTGACTAGCTGTTAAGTAATCTTGGAAAAAAGGTAGCAGATGTCTGTTCATGTAGACCAATGCAGTTTGTGGTGGGAGGAGAATTGTTTTCTTTGGAAGTCCGCAATGATCCTTTCAAGTCTTTAAGGATCGCTTGTGTTCAGGTCTTTTATCTCATTTAAATGGAAATATTTTAAATCTTTTCATTTCTTAATAATGTCATTAATCTAGTGCTCCTTATGGAGAGTGAAGGAAATTTTGTGAACTGTGGTATTTAAAGATAGGGGCTGGTTTAAATTTAAAATATTAAATTTATTTAAAATAGGGGCTGGTTCTGGGACAGAGCAGCACAGGAATGAGCTAATAATAATGCAAATTCACATGTGCTGAAGTTTATTGCTGTTGTATTTCAAAAAGAAATTAATGGACCCTGATCACATTCAGATACCCAGGAAAGCCAAAGAAGGAAAGAAAGGTTTACTTGTCAGCAAAATGTTCCTTCTGAACTTCCAGAAAGTGCTTTTTAATGCTCTCGGTTTGCGGGCGCCATCTGCCCCTCGGTAGCATCAGGGTTTTTTCAGTTCCTTCCAAGAGAAGCAGATTGGAGCCCTGGCACGTAGCTACCAAATTCTTGAATTTCTTTCTTCATATAGGTGCTCTTCGCTTTATGAGGAGGATAATTGGCCTAAAAGATGAATTTTATAACCGTTATATCACCAAGGGAAATCTGTTTGAACCAGTTATAAATGCCCTGTTGGATAATGGAACTAGGTACAACCTGCTCAACTCTGCTGTGATTGAGCTGTTTGAATTCATCAGAGTGGTAAGTTAAGCGGCTTCTTCAGCTCTTACGCGTAGCTGGCATCTCGGGGAGAAATACAAAATGCAAATCTTTCCCTTGAAATAGCGTATTACGACTTCAAATCGCAAACTAGAAATCCCACAGATAAATATCCAAACAGAAAGGAGCCAGTAGGCTGCTTCGTGCTCTTTCACGTGATCGGCCCTTCAGAGAGAACGTGTAGGCTCTGTTTACGTAAAGTCTGTGCTAAAGGATCGTATCCTGTAGATGGGATTCTTTTTAAGAGGTTGAGTGTTCCCGGACTAAGCCTCGAAGCGAGGAATTAAATGAAATATGTTTTATGTGAGTAAATCTAGGTACTATCAGGTATAAATGAGACTGATTTGACTATAAATTCGAATGATCATTGTCCTTTAAAAGCCTATGCGCGTGCTTTCTCAGACACCATCCGCTTTGAATCCGTAGCTTTTCCCCCAGCAGCGTCTGCGGGAACAACGTGTGCGTGGCCAGGACAGGCAGGACAAGCCGGAGCGCCCGGTTTGTTGTATTGCTGGGGTAGAAAACAAGGACTTGCAGCAGCTCCTGAGCTACTCGCTGCGAACGCCTTGACGTGTGGGAGCCTTCTCGGGGAGTCTTTGTGCTCTGCGAAAATGGAGGGCAGTTTTTAGTCGTAGGATATCATAGCTGTCGTCTTCTCCAGCAAGAAAAGGTGGCTTTGGCCAGCGCGGTATGACAGTGAAGAGTCGCCTGATACGGTGAGACTCGTTAGAGGGGGACTGGCCAGGAGGTGCCTCATCCCACGCCTGCTGCTGCAGCTACCGAGGGCTGGGGAGAGCCAGAACCCGCGGGGAGGGCAGGGCGCAGCTGGGCGCCTGTTTTTTCTCAAGAAGGCGTAATCCTGGATAGCAAGCATCATGGTTTAATCCAACTATCACAAACAGAGTCGGGACGGTGCTGAGTATATCGTCCATTTAGATGGGAAATGTAATAATAATTTCTAGATTTCAGCTTTCTTATTAAGGAAAAACCTGATTACGTCACGTTTGTTCTCTACAGTAGTGCTTTGGCTCTGGGCAATGCATCAGTTACTTTTAAAACTAAACTCTAAAGCTTTCTGAACCTCTGCTAATATTTGAGGCTGAAACCCCGTTTTGTTCTTACGCAGGAAGATATTAAGTCCCTTATTGCACATATAGTTGAAAACTTTTACAATGCACTTGAATCTATCGAATATGTTCAGACATTCAAGGGACTGAAGACAAAATATGAGCAAGAAAAAGACCGACAAAACCAGAAACTGAACAGGTACGACCCGGTTTATGTATTCTGAGACTTTTATTGAATGCCATTGCGTATTCTCTTCTTCCTGCGGGTTGGGGTTCTTGTATCCTAGGGGCTAGACAAAGCCGAAGGCTGGGATTGGGGTTGGGTTTCGTTCTTGATTAAAAACGTCTTCAGTTAAGAGTAAAGCCCCATCTGACTTTCCTTGTGGCCTGTTGTAGTACGGGTCGTTTGTCAGTCCCTTAAATGTCACGTGCAGAAAAAACTCAGCTTACGAAGAGCAGAATCTTACCCCGTCATGCAGTTAGGATTCGGTCTGCCCTGTTGTCAGCTGGGGTTTTGGTGAAGCTTAGGTGGGCGGTAGAACCGGGGACAGAGCTGGACTGCCTTCTGCAGCGCTCCAAATTCACTTGAAAGCCTCAGAAGCCGTTTCTGATCCCTGGCTGAGTGTGAAACTTGAATGGTGGTCGTGTGTCTCCTGCAGCGTTCCGTCTATACTGCGTAGCAATAGATTTCGCAGAGATGCAAGAGCCTTAGAGGAGGATGAAGAAATGTGGTTCAATGAAGACGAAGAGGAAGAAGGTGAAGCTGTTGTGCCTCCGGTTGAGAAGTCGAAACAGGAGGACGATTTTCCAGATAGCTATGAAAAATTTATGGAAACTAAAAAAGGTATTTACTCCGTTTTAGCTTGTTGGTGCTGGAAGCGTTCTGTGGTGGATATGTGCAATGTCACATAAACAAACCAGTTGCTTGTGCTCTGCATCGTTAGCGGGAGTAAGGGCATTCTGTTTAATTAAGGCACGAATCCCTAACCCTTCGTTGCAAGTTAGGTTAGGATTCAAATAGCGGGTTAAATTGCTCCGAGCCCGCATCGAGTTTAAATGACATTCAGAAGCCAAACTTTATTTGTACGTGTGCGCGCTGAGTGAGCAACGTCCCCGTGTCCGCAGCGTCTGTGCAGTTCCCAGTGTGAATGCTGGCGTGCTTCGGGTGAGGTCAGTAGGTGAGCAGTTGATCGAAACTGAATTATTTTTTTTTTTTTAAAAAAAAAAAAAAAAAAGGTGGGTTTTGCCCTGTGATTATGCTGTGATGTGGACTGTACTCCGTGGTGTAAGGCTGATGCTTAAGTATGAAAATGTTTGTCCCTCAGCTAAGGAGAGTGAAGACAAAGAGAATCTTCCAAAAAGGACTTCAGCTGGGGGATTCAAATTCACTTTTTCCCACTCAGCCAGCGCAGCCAATGGTGCAAACGGTGCAAACAGTAAATCCGTGGCAGCTCAGACGTCACCAGCAAGCTCCAACGGCTCCTCCTCAAAGAACGCAACCCTGACCACGGCGGTGACGGCCACGAAGGTGGGAGAACTTGTATCAAAGCTGCTGGCCTCGCGTAGGGCAGCGGAGCGGTGTTGTGAGACTTTACTGGTTTAATGTGGTAAGGTTAGCACGAGCCTCGAGGCAGGGTATCTGATTTATGGATAAATGCATCCAAAGCCCTGTCTAGTTAAACCCTTACTAGTCTGGGGGGAGCTTTGAGGAAGTATGAGGTGGGACTGGATTCTGTTGGTAATCTGGTGGGCACCGTTTGATCTTGCATCTTCTGCCTAATGTAACTGCGCCCGCTGCTCAGCTTTAGCTGCCCAGTTGCTGCTGGGTGTGTGTGATGCTCGGAAGGAGATCGGGTTTTTTCTGAATTATGTTAGTGCCCCCCCGAGAGGGAACTGGTGAGAGCTGCTGAGCAGATGGCAGACAGCGCGCGATACCTCGTCGTGTCTGAGGCGGCTGTGCGGTCTTTTAATCTTTAGCCTGCAAGCTCCCGAGAGGCTGCAGAAAAGTCACTGCGCACACCCACGCCCTACCAGCAAAACGGGTGGGCCGCGTACGCCTTGGGTGGTGCGTCTGTCCGCTTGGGAGCCTCAAACGTGATTTTTTTTTTTTTTTTTTTTTTTTTTTAAATAATTTTGAGGCCAGATGCAGAGGAGCAAGGAAGTTCCAGTACTTTTTTTAAGCCTTGAGGTTCAAAAACATTCTCAAGACAAACGGATCTTTGAATGAAAAAGGCATCACCAAGGAGCCTGCGGGCTTGTGTCCCCCGCGCAGGTTGGCTGGGGGTTAGGTACTAAAATTGCACCTTCCTGGGGATTTTTTTCAACGTGAGATTTTCTTTTCTTCTTTTTTTTTTTTCAATTGGCAGGGAAGTCTAGTTGGCCTAGTGGATTATCCTGATGATGAAGATGATGATGAAGAGGAGGAGACATCTCCAAGGAAAAGACCTCGCCTGGGTTCATAAATGAAACCAAAACTTTGGAATAAAAACTTTTTATTATGGGGTTTCAAATGCTGCAACTGTTTTAAGAGCTAAAAAGAATCCGATTCAGAAAGCTTTCTCCCATGGGTATAGAAGATAATACAAGGAGTAGCAAAAGAAACTCGGTGTGTCAGCTAGAAAGGGTTAGTTCTGTAAACACAAAGCTTCCAAGGAACTTAATATCTTTCTAGTAAGTAAGAAGTCTGCCATTCAGGCTGTCAAAAAATGTAAAAATTTAAAAAAAAAAAAAAAAAAAAAAAAGGTGGGTTAGTATTCACAGAACCTGGATGATGGCTTCTCAGCAAGGAAAGTCTCAGGTGTCGGGAGGGCAGGGGGAGGGAAAGGTATGGTAAACACTTTTTTAAAAATATTGCAGGGTTTCCCCAGTGTTTAACAGAACTAGGAAAAAAAACAAAACAAAACAAAAATTCAAGCTTAAATTTTGAACCCAGTAATCTTAATTTTGTACTGGTGCTGTCAGTTGTGTTCCTTTAGCGATGCCTCTTTTTAAAAAATGTTAAGGGAGAACTCACTCTGTCTGCATAAGAACAATCCAGATTTGGGGACCATTTCTTACCATGTAAATGGCGTTTCTCGCGGTTGGAGGGAGGGACGCCGCAGTTACAGTGCATGTTGAGTTGTTTAAAAGAGTTTCAAAGTTTTCATTTGTGCTTTTCAAGAGGAGAAAATGGAAGCTGGATTCAAACCGGATGGTTTTGCTTGTTTGGGGGTTTGGTTTTTTCTTTTTTTTTTTTTTGATTCGACATCCAGTAATATCTATGCCAAGGAATGCTCGCTTCCCAAATGTCTCCGGGAGCTGCTTGTGTCCGCGTGGCGCTGTACACGGCGCACCCGAAAAGCTGGCGGCTTCACGCTGTGGCGGGTGCCGAATTGGAATGGCTTCCCGTGGGGTCCAGCGAGCTGCCTCTTCCCGCAGCAGCGAGCCATTTCCCCCATGTGCGTCGTCGAGGCGGTAATAAGAAACACTAACAGGTTTTTTTCATAGTGATGAATTTAGCGGCGGTTTAACACCAAAGTCACTTTGGACCAAGAGGGAATTGTTACTAACGGAACACGGATCTGTGAGGCAGGCCCAACAAGCAGCACCGGAACCTGGGTGTAATGCAAAAGCTGCTTTTAAAAAAAAAAAAAAAAAAAAAAAAAAATGAAAGCACATTCCACGTGGTAGGTAAGCAAACTGCGAGAAAAGAAGGGGTGAGTTGATGGCGAGTTGACAGAGGCAAACAGTCCAGGTTTTATTTTTCAAGAGCAGCAAGTGAACTGTAAATATTTTAATGTTCGTTTGCCCATACGTGATCTGAGATCATGATGAAGTGAGAGGAAATTTCCCGACGGCAATTAATGTCTCGGAAATGTTAAACTACGAAACCAGCTGCAATCCACCACATAGATCACTCTTGTAATATGTGTTATGGGTCCATTTCTCCTGGAATAGTTTAAACTGAAGCAGTTTCTCTGTTTTGGAGATTTTTGTAGTTAATTTTAATTTTAGCTATTGTTTGGAAAAAGATGGGCTGTCTGTGTAGATATGAAGTATAGTTTTTTCCATAAAACAGAAGTTTATTTTGTATTAAAAATACCACTGTACTTGTTTTACACCATTTGTATACATGTGGTGATATTAATGCTGAACTGTAAAATTCAGGAATTAAAATGTGACCCTGTAATTCCATAATTACTGCTTTGGTTTGGTTTGTTGTACACGGTAAGTTAACCCGGAATTTAAAATGTGGCCATTTTAGAATTTTTATTTTTATTTTTTTTTTTTGAAGATTAGTTATCCGTGCAGTTTTAAAGGTCACTCCATACCACCACATGAAATCCCAAAGGGAACAGGCGAGTTCTTCCCGAGGCATAAGCCAGGCACAAGCATCCTGACGGAGCACGGTTCCTGTGGCCGGCAGTGTTGCCCTTCGTGGGCTCCGGGCAGCCACGACCGGGACTTCTCGTTTTTCCCTCTCAAACGCCCTCTCAGCTCCCAACGCAGAGGATCCAAGGAAGCGCCCGCTGGCGAAGCGTAGCTGCAGCCTCATCGCCGTGTGCTCGCTCTCCTGCTGACCATCGTCTGGTTTTCTTCCCGAGGAGTCTTTTTCTCTCCGTCGGTAACCGTGATTAACTTCCTCCAGCACGATACCCACCACGGAGCCACCGAGTTACGCGGTATGTGCCTTTACTAACCCGAGGCTGAAACATTGCGTCGCCTGCTCTGGGGGCCAGAGTTGTCCTGATTCGCTTTAACAGCTGCCCAGCACACGTTCTCCGAGGGTCTCCACCTGCAGCGCGTTAGCTCTTGCTCTGCTCCCCACCACCCCAGCTCTTTCCTGAAGTACCATCAGGAGCTTGAAAAATAGTCAGACCAATGTGAGGGGGTTTGGGGGTTTTTTTTTTACAGCAAACAACGAATGTCATGAATTTTTATAGTTATTAGAAAAAGACTCTGTAAAGTGGCATTAGATGTCCCGTTTAAAAAAAAAAAAAATCCCTGTAGAAGGCAACATGCAGCACACTTTTTAACTGGTTTGTGTCTGGGGCCATCACCCCCAAGACGCCGTTTCCCCGTCTGACCTGGTGGGTGCTGCCTGCGGGCAACCGCGTTCCCGTGCCTGGCGTCCTTCCACTACCGCTCTTTTTGGAAAAGAACAGAACATTTGCCAACGTGTATCAGTTATAAATGCTATTTTAATAAAAAGTTACATGAAACTTGAATTGGCTGGGCTGTTTTCTTGTAGTGCGAGGTGGTGTTGCGGTCAGCTACGTAATGACGTCCTGCGAAGGGCAGCTGCTCCTCCCTGCGTCATTTTAAGTCTGTGCAAGCCAAACCCATCCAGGAGATTCGAAAAGATTTCTACATTGAATCTGAATTGCCCCTGACAGGCCTAGCAAAATTGAACCTAAGGGCTGGTAAACTGCCCCAAAAGTATGTAAAACTGATCCAGAGGTGAATGTCTCGACTTCAAGCTGCATTATCCATTTCTCAGAAGTGAGATGGACATAGCTGCGCTTCCTTGTGAAATCAAGACTTTATTAGATTGCATGGCTGCCAAATAGCAATTTGCTTATAATATTCTCCTAAGAGGAACAAAGGTCTGTAATTTTAAGAATAAAAAAGTTAAAATTCCTAACTCGTTCAGAACTGTTCACATAGGAATTATTTCAGCCGATCTCAATACCTGCTTTTGCTCTACCTGACACCAGGTGGCTGAGGCCAGCAGTGCCCCTGTGCTGCAGTGAGTTGCCAGCATTCTGGAAAACAAGCAGTTTTAGTGTCTATTGGTGTAATTTTAAATATTTTTATATATAAAGTACTGAGTTGCTTGTCTGAAAGTCCTATAAAACTAAGTGTAGTATTGGAAAACAAATCCATTTGATTATCGGTATAATTAATTCTAAAAACATACTTATGCTCCTGGGTTCTGCCATGAGCTTCTTAAAGTTACCGCTTATTAATAACTTCTTCTTTTAGTTTTTCTGCAAGCATCTTCCTCTTCTGGAGTAATCTTTGCTTCTCTTCTGACATTTCCTAAAAGTGGGGGAAAAAAAAAAAAAAAACCCACCATGATGAAAGGGCAGAGCTTTGCTGGTAGGTGCCCCGACCGCCGGGGCTGACTGCTAACGGGACATGTGAGCCAGGGCAGGCGGCTCACACATGGTTTCTCGAACG